CGGCCTTAGCTATTAATTAAATTATGTAGGTACGTATTTGGTATTATACATATGCAAAAAGTTTAAATATTCCGATAACTCATTGTGATTTTATGACCACATTTTCAGACCATTCCCATTCATTCCCGGACGTTCTTTAGTTTCAGCTGAACTTACTTCCGACTTCAATTTCTTCCAGATCTTCCTCGAACACTTGTTCTGAATAAATGTTTTCCCTTTCGGCCTGGACTAGGTCACTATTAGTATCACTATAATAGTGTTTTTAGAAGTCTTCTTTTGTAGCGAGCACTCAACTGAAAAAGTCGTCTCCTTCCCATGAGGAACGATTTGAATGTGGCAGCTAAAATTACTTAAAAATACAATAACAGCGTGAAAGAGAGAAATCACAGTGAATTCTCTAAGAATTATTTACGAATTCGAGATTCAAGGCGAACAGTTTATAGTCTCCTATTCCTGTAAGAAGAATTCCTATCGAAATCGGGGAGAATTCCTCACTACAATAACAGCGAATTCGTTTAAGAATTCATAGTGAAGTCGTTTCGAATTCGATAGAAGAATTCTCTGAGAATTCGAGTCTAATTCATTACGAATTCTGAAATGAGCGTAATATCGAATTTAGATACGAATAATTACCGAATTCGATGCGAATTCGATACGAGAATAACAACGAAATCTGAGAGAATTCGAGTTCTCTGTTTTAACGCGACATTCTCTGCGAATTCTCTAAGCGAATTCATAGCGACCTGTTATCTGGGATGTTACATGAAATTTACCGATTAAACAAAGAAATCGAATAACTTTTCAAATTTAAAACTGCACTAGTATGCATACCAGTTCACTTTCATTCACGTGACTGATTATAATAGATAATGATAGTGAATGAAAATTTGTTTCCTGTGACTTGAATGAAAATGAGTGAAAGATTCAGCTATTTAAGATGAATGACTATGAATGAAGGGATTTCTCACTCAATGATGAAGTGAATGAAATTAGATCGAGAGACATTGACCGAATGTGAGGGGGAATCTTCACTCAGAAATTGGTATGACTGAAGTTTTTTGAACAGGTATGCTAATAAATATGTACTTTCGTATGTGACATGCACCTTCAAAATTGGATATATTTATTATAAATAAATAATTTGATACTTTTGTGTTTTTATTCTTACGAGTAAAGTAGAATATTCTTACATACATATTTAGCAGTTATACAGGTGGTCAATCCATAATTTTCAACAATTCAGAGAACACAAGATCCGGGGAGAAATATCGGTTATAAATCAATCATACTTAAATATTTATGAAGATTCCATATTTCTTATTTTTCTTGCACAAATGTAGAATATAGTAGAAGACTAAAATTATGTTTAATGATGGCAGTTGACCTTTCAAATTTGAATAATTTAGTTCAAGCGAGCTAAATAAACTAAAATTTGCATATGTAGGAATGAATGAAAAGCCGTGTTTTCAAACCGTTGTTCCATATCCAAGAAAATATTTATCTTGTATAATGCTCCTTATTCTGCAATGTTAGGGAAATGTACAGATATCATCGTAACATATCATAGTGGTGAAGAAATATCCACCACTTGCATATCTACTTCATGTTAAGTTTTGTAAGAGCAGGATATTTAAATATGCAACCACCAACCACCTATTTGACGACGTGTTGTACGGCTGTCGCCCTAAATCTACAAAAAATGAAGAATAATGTCAACGCCAAAATAGTTCTTAGTTCATAACACGGCATTAAAGAATATTTTCGTTTACACAACATTACTCCCCCATTTGTGAAATGGAATTGATGAGTGGAGTATATACGCTTATAAATGCAAATTTAATATAAATTTCAACGTTTTTATTAATTTTTCCAAAATCTACGTTCCAAATTCCCAATTCTAAATCTAGTTTCAAATTTTTCATCAATATTCAAGCAACATTTATTTCAAAGCTTTGCACGAGATAGGAAAATTTGATTGCAGGCAGACATAAATAAATATTTCGTTTTTTGGAGAAAAGGAGTTTACATAGGTCAGAATGGTTGTAACGAAAGGAATGTGGAACTCGATGCATATTTGGCAAGCTAAGCAGGCGAGTCTTTGGAATTTTCCACTCGAATGGGATCCAAAACGGAAGAAACTAGTGTATTATTATTTCTCTAAAAAATTATATATCTGGGCAGCCGTTATTTGTTGCATGGCAGTAAACATATTTATTTCTCTGCTTCTGTTTCTAAGCCACATATTTGGTTATATTACCTTGTCCTTCATTCCTGCGATTTTACTAATCGCGATAAACATTTGGTTAGTACTGATATTTCTGATGCAATTAGTTTTACTAAACATTGTGCAGGATCCGGTTGCCGCGTATAACGCATTAATCCGTTTGGATCGAGGTTTAAAGGCAGGTCCGAATTGTATAATTACATCATGTTAACACTCTATATACATACACTGCCCGGAACAATTATCCGGTAGGTTTTTCCAAAGCTATGTATATCACGTACAATTGGTGAGATAACAATTTGAAACAGTGCAGAGTCAAAGGTCAAAGGTTATGATTTTTTTTTACCTCAAACCCAAAAGGTCACCTACCTCAAAGAAATTTTTGCCTTGTTTTTTTATTATTTTTTATAAAAGAGGGGCAACTCATCGCAAGCATTTTGATATGCACATCATATAGCCTCGATTTTATCAACAACACAGTGAAATTTTTTGAAAAGTGTAGTTGTGAAATTTTGTCCCATAAATGTTATAACTTTTCAAAAAATCACTATGGCGTTGAAAAAATTTGACAGAGGCGATATGATATGCAAATCAAAGTGTTTATGATGAGTTGCCCCTCTTTTATAAAAATTAAAAAAATAAAAAATTTCTTTGAGGTAGGTGACCTTTTGGGATTGGGGTAAAAAAATCATAACCTTTGACCTTGTCTGCACTGTTTCAAAACAGGGTTCCCAAATTCCCACAAATGCGATTGTCTATAACCACGCAAAATTTCAAATTGCTATCTTACCAATTATACCAGATGTCAAATCTTTGGAAAAACATGTCGGATAATTGTTCCTGACAGTTTACATATTGTTTAACGTACTTTCGTATGCGCGTTTCAAATTTGAATTTTCGTGTCTCAGCTTTCCCTTCCTTCGTGAATTCAAATCGCGATGTTTAAAGTTGTTCATCTAAATACATACGTTTTCTTAAAATCATCACTCTATTGCTCCAAGAAATATAGGTAAATTTTGGGTTCACAATGCGATGAGGTTAGAATTTGGATTTTTATCTTTCATGACAAAATATATACCATGTAGCTTGTACTCATTGAGTAGCTTCATCTTCTTTATGCCAACACTTTATCCGCATATCTGTCCGTCCGCCTGTTTGTCGGCAAGATAACGGAGGACGGATCGAGGTAATGGAGATTGGTTTGTGTGATCAAAAATATGTACACATAATTCTAGGAGTAAGATGGTATCAACTTGTGAAATCAAACCCCTTACGATCCTAAGGGCGTGATGTGGGGCAAAATGAGATCTTTGACTGAAAATTAGTCAATAACAAAAAAGATATACGGTGAAATTAAATGTACGGTGAGCGTGTTCGAGTTCAAGGTAGGCTACGCGTTTGCTACGCTTTATTTTTTTTGTGAATATTTTATTTTGATATTCTTCTGGACGAAAAACTGAAAATTCTAACCTCTTAGCTTTGCAAATCTAAAATTATCGATTTTTAGAAGCATTACCTTGAAAAAACAGAACGGAGATGAATCGCCATTTGAATAACTACAGACATGGCTCAAGGGAAAGTTGAGACACAACAATTTAAATTCAAAACTCGTGTATCACGGAACACTAATTTGTTGTTTTATTTTTTAGTTCTCGTTCTCATCTCATCAAGGAAAAAAATAACTTCAAAAAGGACGAGAGATCTCACCTTTTTTGTCCATTACTACTCAGCATTTCCTTTTTTCGTAGTTCCGTTCCTCGTTTATTTTGATGCTGATCCAATTGCACAGTTCCATTTAAAAATCACCTTAATGTCTGCGGCAAATCGTAACTTTTTGATTTATCTGACTATAAGAGTGGTTAGTTTTATATTACTTTCTGTAACAATATTCGAAGCGTCTAGATTTATTTCGGGTCTAATTCCTATCCTCACAATTGGTACACGATTGATAGTTGACTGCATTTTACATCTGGATAAAATTTTTATGCACTGGCGTTGTATCCGCTTTAATGAAATCCTCCGTTGGAATGAAATTTTGCACATAATTTTGCAATCTGTTTATGAAGTGAGCAGCTCGACAATAATACTTGCATGTTGATCCCATTTTTGAGTGGGGTCTGTTGTAATTTTGTAAGTCTGAAGATGTATGATAAGTTGCCAAGTTTTATTTATTTCACAATAATTACCATAGCTGCTGTTATGCTGGTAGTAACTAAGATAATGATAACTCTAATTGTACACGTCCACGAGAAAGGTAAAATTTTGAGAGATAAATGGAATGCGAGGTTAACGATATTAAGTATTTTAAGAGAAAGTTGGCCAGTGTAAGGGTCGTCACGTTATACGGAGGACTACTAGGATTTAACGTGTATAAAGTGGATAAAGAAGTAAGGGCGAGATATTATTGGGAAATTGCGAATTACACTGTCACGCTCTGTTTGTCGGTTACATTGTAGTGTTACATTTTACGAAAGGAAGGGGTAAACAAGTTAGGGAAAATATATGTATTTTCTAGAAAAATGATTATGATAATTGTGAAATCCGCGTAATATAAGAATTCCGTCAATGGGGAAATGTGCTTGGGGACACATTCCAGAACATTTATTTTTCGATGTACCATTATTTAACTGTAATGTTTATAGTCATGTAACAACTTATATACACTCTAAACAAAGTTGAGCAAAGCTGGTTGAGTAAAATGAAGTTGATCAAATTTTTGTCAACGTTGGACAAAATTTATACTTCTAAAGCGTAAAATTTACACAATAAAGTTGTGTAAAGCAAGTTTTACTCAACATTGAACAAAATTTGACTTTTTTTCTGATTAAATATAAAATTAATCAATGTTGGGCGATAAATGCACAACAAGTTGACTAACTTTTACTCAACACGTTGATTAATTTTTACTCAACGCGTTGAGTAAAATCAACTTCGCCTATTTATCAGCCACACGAACGCTGTCAGTTGGTTACAGCAAGTTTAAAAAGAAGCAGCAGTAAATTTATTCGATCATCATTAGTCAATATTTAAAATGGCCCGACGACTTGAAAAATCTCTTAAAATAACCGGTGGAGTCCAATCTGCAGATAAGTTAAAAGGTAAGGTGATTTTTATTTATTTTTTTAACTATAGTTATAAAATAAAATATTTTTTTGTGCTTATTTTTTTTTGCAGGGAACGATGACGACGACAGTTTTTTTAATTTGCTGGACGGTGCCGCTGGTTTACCATAAGAACACGGTTGCTGAAATGATTTCATCAGTTGCCCACACATTTAAATTAATTACAACCAGAGAGGTTAGTAAATAGATAAGGGCTTCGTCAGATTATCTCTAAAAATTATACTTGTATGTATGTATGTATGTATGTATGTACATAATTAGTATTTGGAAGTAATATCCCAGTATCTTTATGATAATTAATTGTTTTGTACTTATGTAGAATTTATAAAATGTAAAACGAGTACAATAATAATAAATAATGAATTTTAAGAAGGTAAAGAATGTATTTTAATCAGCATAAAAAGCAACCTTTGGTCAACCAAAGAGTAAATTTTAATCACTTATTGATGATTTTTTAACTGCAAGTTGAGTAAAAATTCAACAACTTGTTGAGTTAAAATTCCACAACTTGCTGAGTAAAAATTCCACAACTTGCTGAGTAAAAATTCCACAACTTGCTGAGCAAAAGTTACTCAACGAAGTTGAGTAAAATTTAACCAACGGTTGTGTCATCCTCTTTTTTACTCAACCTTGGACAAAATTTTACACAACCTTGTAGAAATTTTCTACAACTTTGTTTAGAGTGTATGTATGTATGTAGGTATGTATGTACGTAGATACGTATTCTGATTCCACACATACAGCTTTCCAGCAATAAATACATAAAAAATTTGAAAATTTTATAAATTAATTAATTGTTGGACAATAATTTGGGTTGAGCATTGTTTGCCTTCCCATTGTAAGTATTGTACATATGTATGTACATGTCCCAGCATATATCAACAAATACAAACATAGAAAAGTATAATACAACAGGGTGGAATATATTAGGAATCTATTCATCAATTGCATTTCCAAAATTTGTGAACAACCAGCAATTAACCTTGGGGCTATATTTATACTTCATAATTTCTGCAAGTAGTAGTACGATACACATTAATAAACCAATCCCACAGACATAAAAACCCGTTGTGACCTTAGAACTAAAATCCAGTCGTGAAACCGCCTCGAATTTCGAACCGGTCCAGTTTGCATAGTGCCCCAGTAACTTTTTCGGTTTCCACAAGTTGTGCAAGATTTTCAAGTGTGTCAAAATTCCGGAAGACACAAATGCAGTTAGGCGTTTCTCCACATAATTACTTCGTACCGGAGGTAAAACCCAACCCCTAACTGCCGTGAAGAAGGAGTGTCCATCTCCTTTGACGTATGTCACCTTTGCTTGATAATCGTTCAAAAACATTGTAATTGCCGCGATATTCTCCTTGGTGTCCATTAACGCTACCTTTTCACAAGTCTTCAAACTTTTTATCACTCCGTAACTATCCCGCTCATCGTATTCTACTGGTTGGATAGGGTAATCAAGTAACGCATTTTTGTCGTAAGGTTCACTTAAACTACCCTTTGGTGAAAACGTTGCATTCCGTACCTGCATTAAATTATCATCCATCCCAAAATGTGGTTTTAGCCTATTAAATAAACTTTTTGCTGTTTTCCAGTTGTTCACCTGCAGCTTACGAATATTATCGCAATAAATAAGGATCTGGATGTAGAACAATTTATAACAAAAATAATCCACAGGAGGTACCCTATCAAAAACATTGCCGGCTAGGAGATCAAATGGCATAAGGATTTTAATTCCCTCAACGTCCATTATGCTTGTCCAGGGGGATTTGTAACCCGCTGGAACAATCAAATCCATCGTGAACCAGGTTTTGTACCAATTCGTCAAAATTGTTCCTATGAAAATAGTCCATAACGCGACAAGAGTACAAACTCCGGAAATGGGATATCTCTTTTGCCGAAATCTAGTCTCGTAGACTGATAACGAAGCCGAGTTTTCCAAGGATATGCCTATAAGCAGAAGCATTGCATCCGAAATATGCCTTCGAAGTAGTGAGGTCAAAATTAACACCACTATGCTAAAACATATCGATATGCATGCCCAAATTGTCACATCAAATGGGGTACTTAGCGCCGCTAACATTAAGGAATTCCCCTTTATTCCGTAACATGATACAAAGCTAAACTTTTGAACATTATTCATCACAAAACTAACTCCTGCGAACCTCCAGAAAGCCATTATTTGCATCGGATCAATATTGTGCAATGGCGTCAAGTTTACCAAACCAGAAACCAGTGTATCTTGTAATATAACAAAGGAGAGAAATCCGTGAAACGACGTCAAATTCGCTAACCATTGATAGCCATAGCGAGAACCGCGCATTCCCGAAATACCAATTTCACCAAATACGTTACTCAGAATGTTTTGACCAAGCATACCGGTTGTAGTCCAAAAATATTTGTTTAACATGGACGTATTTTTACCCAGTACGGCCAACTGGTCGAAACAATCCGCTGGTGCACAATGGATATGGTACCATGCTTCCGAGTGTTCCATCCCTGTAGTGCGTGTCGGCTGATGGTACAAATTGAGGTAACCCAACCGTAACAATGAATTATCTTCTATAGTAACATCTACTAGTATAACTTCAGTGCGACGGAGATAAGCTAAGACATTGCCCCTTCTAAAGTAAATTTCCACGTCTTGCTTTGCACCTGTCATCATAATGAAGTAATTCAAAGGCCAGGACGTGTATATGAAGATGGGAAGAATTATAAAGGTGTAATATTCGTTCTTCTCAAACAACCCAGCTTTCTCTGGTAGAATGGTAAAAGTGGCCCAGCAATGCGGCGCCGGAATGCGTCTTCGCACAAGGGAAAATTTATTCTGGATAACCTCTCCTGTCACCAAGCTGATCCTGTCATCGTAATCAAGCAACATAACTGGTCCGTGTGTAGGCCTCTTGGTTCCCCAGGATAATTTGCCCAGCGTGAAGACCATTGTCGTACAGTTCTCGAACGCGAGTAAATAGTCTGTTAAATTATCGCGGATGATGTCGAGTGTAGCATTATTGTTGGTCACGTCAATTGTGGTACCACCAACACGGGTTTGTGTCAAACTGCGTGTAAGAATTTGTGCCAAAATTACAAAATGATGAGCTGAAAATTTCGCCATTACACGAACAGACCAGTTCAACAGAATTATCTATGTGGAGGCGTGAATGTTTGTTATGTGTTTAATTACAAAGTGATAATTGATCTATCTAAATATGTTCTGTAATGTTATTGCTGTTCATATTACTGTTCATGTTGGCTACCGATAATCTGTCAGCCTAACGATTGTCTTTGATAATTCGTACGATCAATGAGAACCCCCAATGCTAACCAGTCCGATTATTTTTGTGTTATTATGCAACAAGAAATTCCGACAGGATTTCGAAGTTCAGCAATAGCTTTTGGAACAGTATGCACTAAGAACTTACTGATGTGGATAGTCAATCCCAAAGTAAAATCAATATCCTGTCTGGCCTAAGTGGTTATGAGGCAAATAATTTAAATATGTACGCGTGTTTGGAAACAATTCGAGAAAAACAAGGAAATAAAATTATGCTCAATTAAGTACCACTTTCCTGCTTAAACGTCGATATCCTGCCGGACAGATAAATCATAGTATGTACAAACATCCGTTGCTATCATTAACCTAATGGTGCCAACCTTGTCAAATTGCTTTGATACGTAAGTAGTTATGTTTAGAGCCTAATTGTTTAAGGAAACCTTCGAAATATTCGAGCATATGGGTCAAATTCGGTTTTGGTTGCAGTGATACGCACAAAACTTCCTCGGAATGGGGATATTCAAATGTGTGAAAAATTCGAAATTGTTTCAAATTTGGACAACCATTTTTTAAAACTTGATAAACGGCTGGTAGAGAGCTCTCGGATCTGATCATAATTTTCAAAATTTCTACCCGGTCGGAAAACTTGTCACAAAGGTGGATCAATTTGGATTGGAGTTCGTGCTCTTGATAGATTTCAATTTTGGCGCTAATTCGTTTCGCGAGTCGGTCGTCTATGAAATCGAAAAAGGGGGAAATTTCGTACTTAAGGGAGAGCGCGAATCTAGTATTTTGAAGGGAAAGGACGATTTTATTCCAAAAATGGGACACGTGTCGGGCCGCTTTTAGCGGGGCGGATTTCTGTTGCAAAATTTGTGACAAAATCTGTAAGTTTTAAAAGAATAGAGTTTCAAATTTCGTAAAAATTTTGGGATTGGTTTGAACAAATTATTCGAGTTAAGAAGTATCTACTGTTGAACCGATATTAACAGTCTCAATTCCTTAGAAATTTTTTTGAGAGGTTATTTGGCTTTTTGAAAAAAAAATATCAATTATCTGCCAGAAAACCTCTCAGATTTTTTTCAGACTATTAATATCAGCTGAACAGTAATGTGTACATACTTACAATCGGATTATTTAGTGCGAGCTCCAGAGCGTTTATTTTCTTTGGAGGAGGCTCCATTATAAAAATCTAGACAATATGTATTATTGTTAATTTCGGCTAATTTTTTGTCTTATTTTGCATATATTTAATTTGCAATTGGTATTCTTATATATTTTTAAATATATTTTTTTATTTGGGACCTGCCAGTATTCGAAACTTGTCAATGTCCAATTTTATGAAATTGCTCCAGTTTAAGTTAAATATGTGAATTGAAATTCACCACGGAATAAATAGGATGTCTTTCTTTTTGCCGGGAATCCCGACTCGGGATCCAGATGCGGACTGGACCCTATTTTCCTTTCAAATGTTTGCGTTTAGGGCCGTACAAACAATATGTGCCTTGATTTTGGGGATTGGTCAAAGTTAAGCACGTCAAATATATGTATATTTGTAGCAGCGGCCTAATGAAGCTAAAAGTGGAAATGGGGTCCAACAAACCATAACATCTTTTATGTACGGTCCATTATCCCCTCGAACCGAAAACCCTTTCCCCTTTTCAGGCTAAAAGAACTACATATCACTCACATTAGAGCTCTTTAACCGAATGTATGTACATATGCTCACAGATTTTAATCAAACAGTGTCAATCGATTACACACATAATTCAAATGAAATTTGCAAAACATAATTCTCAGGTTGGGGGGACATTTGTATTTGCATCCAAGGATAAAAAGCGCAGTAAACTTGGTTACGTTCTTGCGTCTTTGGATGCAAATAATATCTTACCAATCATGAGCACTGACAGGTTTACACAATATTTTGGTTTGGTTTTAGTTTACTCATTATTCTTTGAGCATGCATCGCGAGTCTAGAGGTGAAATGGATATCCATTTTATCCAATCCATTTGGAATCCAATCCATGGATATGGATTGGATTGGATAATCAGAGATCTGGATTGGATTGGATGGATTTTCGGTTGTGGAAAAATTATGAATTTTCACTGTGACTTTCTGTATAGAAATCATAACCAGGACATTATGTTATTCTAAATATTCTAAAATCTGTGTATTTATCTACGTATATTTTTAACTTAAAGCAGGCGGGTGTATTGCTGGTTTGGTCGGTAACATATTGGCATTTGAAAGGAGAGCCAAATTCACTAATGTTGGCATCTAGTTTTTGCCTGTCGATTGGCGGTCATATAAACTAGTTTTGTTATATTAAAAATATAACGACATTTAATAATAGGTGTATATATCATGGCAGTGTTTTTTAAAATATAGTTTTGCTGATTTTGTAAATATTATATCCATGTTTTTACACTGGATTCTATTGGTTTAATTTAAAACTAGTGCTGGATAATATAGATTTTTTGTTTTTGGTTTGAATTGGATTGGATTTTTAATGGTTTGAAAGTTATGGATTGGATTGGATATTTTTTTTACAAAATTTCGCATGGATTGGATAAATGTGAACCAAGTTTTGTACCAACCCGTCAAAATTGTTCCTATCAAAATGATCCATAATGCAACAAGAGTATCAACTCCGCAAATGGAATATCCCTTTTGGCGAAATCTAATGCCATAGGCTGACCACGAAGCCGAGTACTCTAAGGACATCCTAATGATAAGAAACACTGCATCTGTAATATTTCTTCTGGGTATTGAGGTCAAAATTAAGACCACCATTATAAAACATATCCCCACACATGCCCAAATTGTCACATCAAATGGGCTGCTTAGTGCTGTTAACATTACGGAATTTCCTCTTATTCCGTAACACGATACAAAGCTAAACTTTTGAACTGTAGGGATTGGATATCCCCCACCCGACGATCCTACCACTCGGCACACGGAAGTCACCGTGGCCGAGCAAGACAGAAAAAGGAAGATCTCTCTCCGTCTCCAGACAGACCGACCCGAGGGTTCCGAGTGTGAACACCTCCACAACTCTTCTCTCCACATTTTCTGGCACCACGCTTTCAGCGTGGCTGCCATTTTGAAAATTATATTCTACATACAAGTTTCCCATTTCATACATTATTCCACAAGTTATCATTTGAAATTTGGTGTTAAATAAATCCGAAAAACTATTGTCAAGCTATATTTTGTTGGGTATTGAACAGTCGGTCTAATTTGGAGCACATGAACCATAATAATAATTCTTTGTGAGTCGGAAAAACTATCTGGCAGTTTAGTTGAATTATCGTGCATAAAAAGTTTCCGTAGTGAAAGAAAGAGACATAATTTTGTCGGTGTGACAGTGCTAAGCGAGAGACAATCCGATTCATCCTCCCCGTGCCCGTCGTCGCTCCATCTTGGCTACCCCCTGTGGCGTGTGAAGGTGTCCGTGACCAGAGGCGTGTCACATCCGTCCCCCGTGGACCCTGACGTCCGTTACTCGATGAGACTCGCCCATATCCCCTTACCGAGCCCACGGCGCCACGCATTACGCCCACAGAACGTCATTCAATACAAACCCAGAGCCTCCCAGTCTTGCAAAACCCATTATGTACATCGGTCGAACATTGCAGAATGGCGTGGAATTTTCAAAATCAGAAATCAACGTGTCCTGTAGGATCAGAAAGGAGAGAAATCCGTGAAACGAGGTCAAATTCGCTAAACGCTGATAGTAATGGCGAGATGGGTCCCGGGTATTAATTTGATCAAACAAGTCACGCAGAATATTTTTGCCAAACGGACCTATTGCGGTCCAAAAATACTTGTTCAGGTGTGACACATGTTTACCAAGTTGTGCCAACTGGTCGAAGCAATCCGCATGGTACCAAGCTGCAGAGTCCTCCATCCCTGTGACGGGTTTCTTAATGTGGTACAAGTTGTGGTAATCAAATCGTAATAAAAAATTACCTCCGCCGGTCATATCTACTAGGATAACTTCAGTGCAATAGAGACTAGCTAAAACATTGATCCTCCTAAGATAAATTTCCACGTCTTGCTTTGCTCCTGTCAGCATGATGAAGTCATTTGAAAGCCAAGAGCTGTATATGAAGGATGGCTGCCTTCTAAGGGTATAATGCCGGTTCCCATCAAGCAAGCTAGCTTTTTCCGGTAGGATTGTCAATGTAGCCCAACAATGTGGAGCCGAATTACGCCTTCGCAAAAGAGAAAATTTATTCTGAATAATATCTCCTGTCACCAAGCTGATCCTGGCATCGTAATCAAGCAACATAACTGGTCCATGTGTTGGCCCCTTGGTTCCCCAGGAAAATTTGCCCTGGGTGTAGACCATTTTTGTGCAATTTTCAAATGGGACAAAATAGTCCGCTACCTTAATACGGATGTCGTCAAGTGCAACATTGTCGTGTGTTTTGTCAATTATAGCAAGACTTTAAGTCTTGCTATAATTGACAAATTTTTACATCCATCAGTGTAATACACTGATGGATGTAAAAATTTGTGCCACAATTAGAAGAAGACGAACGCTATATTTCGCTATTGCCATTTTACATGAACCTTATTTAAAGCGGAAATATATACAAGGATTTGTGGATATTTGCAACGTGTTTAATTACGAGACGAGCACTGATTCAAATGTTCTTGCTGCTAGGATATGTTTATGTTGGCTACCAATAATCTACATATCATTTATCAGCTTAACACTTGCATATCTTGAGTAATTTGAAATTTTTAATGAAAACCTATCTTACGATAAACCAAGCCAATTACCTCTATTTGCTCCTTAAGAAACTCCTTCTTGCTGAATTTCATGGTTTAGTAATTACCTTTATTAACGTCAGGGATAAGAATTTATTTACTGGTGTGCATCGCCAATCGCAAAGAAAATCAATATCTCGTCAGATCGAGGTGGTTATAACGCAAACACATTACATATGCACACGTGTAAGAAAACAATACAAGCAAAAGAATGATATCAAATTATGCTCAATTAAGTATAAGTTTATGTATTTACTGTAAAAACATCGATATCCTGCTGGACATATGCATGCGTTCGGTTGTCTTCGCCAAGCTTATGATACCAATTTTTTTTTACTTTCGTAATTGTGTATAAAACCTAATTGTATATGAAAACATTCGGATTATCTGTATTCGACCATTTTGTACATACTTACATTTGTATTGATACACATGTATGTAGATTAGAAATAAAATTTTGATAAAATGATCGCCATTTTTATCACTATCGCATATGTTGTAATAACTAGTGTTCTACATTGGTCTGGTCCCCGACTGGAACCGAACCGAAAACTCTTGTTCGGTCTCGCGCCGAACCGCAACCAATAGCAAAAGTTCGGTCTGGTCTTGGTCCTAGTTTTCCAGGACCGGATTGATAAGCTTAGATCCAATAACTTTTATCGTTAAATATGTATAATATATTTAATCCGCAGCATTTTGTTTGACACATTTTTTAAGATGGATGGATTTTTTAAAGTATTTTTAACGAGTTTATCACCTTTTTTACATAAGGGTAGTAATTTAAAAAAAAACGAAAGGTTCAAAGCCAATATCATGTTTTCGGTGAGCCACTTTGAACTCTTTGAAACTCTTTCAAACTCTCTACAGGGTAAGTTTTATAAAAACAGGTTTACAAAAATTTTGTAACGATGTATACCCGTATATCCAAGGTCACTAGCCATTTAATGCCAGTAATTAATGCTGTGTACATACGCAAGACCCTGGACTTTTATACAAACCTCACCTTAAAACAAGGTTGCAAAATGCATGTAGTCATACAATAATAAAAAACAATCCTGGACTATTTTAGTAAGACTTGTTTATTGCATCACATTTTCAAATAACAAATCCTGTAACACCGACGCAACATTTCGTAATTTGAATTACTTTCTCTCATCCTTTCCACCTTTCAAGACAGGAGGAGCTCCGAAATGTTCCTGGATCTCATCCATACTTTTGCCCTTAGTTTCCGGGACGAAAATGATGATAAATGCTGTTCCCACCGCGCAAACACCGGCAAATCCCCAGTAGCAGGCGGGCTAGTAACAAAAATGATTCACGATCTTACAATACCTTTATTGGAAGGGTTAAGCTGGAGTAATGTTCTGCAATTGTGATGGTAATTTTGATTGTGGACATATGTATTTGCAATCACAATTCCCACCAAAACTCACACTACTCTTACGCTATCTCAATTTTGTAAGAAACTAAGATTACAAACTTACCGCTCCGACTGCCTTTAGCAGATTGGCGTAAAATTTGGTCACAATAAAGGACAGAAACCAGTTGAACATGGTAGCCATCGATGCCACCAGTCCTAATAATTAATGAGTAACAACCTCGTCATTTTTATAAACTTTTCCATTTTAATTAAAGCCGAATGAAAAAGTTTATACAAGTGCCTTTGTATTGCATACAAACATGTGTGGTCATTAACCTTTCGTTTTTGCAGGAAGTAGTTCACCCAACATCATCCAAGGAAGTGGACCGAATCCAATGCTAAATGCTGTAATCTGTACATATATATTTAATTACTTAAATAAACAATACACATTATGTAAATCTGCAACGGTATCCAGAAAGCTAGCTGTTCCAACAAATGAAAAAATCATGCTGACAAAAATTTAATTCATTCCATTAGTAGAAATAAATAGTGCAAGATTAAAGCTTAATGAACTTTAGGGATAATATAAATCTGGGCTGATTTCAACAATTTAAGGGGGAGAATATAACATTTCCGGAGGGTAGTTGTACTAAAAAATTCACAAAAAAAGGTATTGAACTTACAAAAATCATGAGGGAGACGAGTGGAAGCCAACCAATACCATTGTCCAAGCTATGGCTCTGGAGCATAAAGAACAAGCCCAAGGCCACCAGTGACACGCACATGACTGAGGCTGACGCTATGAGCAGAATTTTCCGGCCTAGTTTATCCACCACAAAAACGGCACCCAACGTGGCAAAGACCTGAATTCCCGTTACGATTATGGCTGACTCCAAGGCAGGCAAGTCGGACCCGGCAGCCTCAAAAATATCCGAGGTGTAGAAAATCACAGCGTTGATACCTTAAATAGGATGAAACGTCCTTTAGCTTACTTACTTCGAAGTTCATTCTATGCTTTGCTTTTTCTATCGGTACTGACCTGATAACTGTTGGAAAAACATTAAGGCAAACATAATCAAGGCAGGGCGAAGATTTTGCGGCAATTTTAAATCACTCAGCTTAGCCTTGTTCGTTAGGGCTTCGGTCACACCGGCTTGAATCTATGTGCAAAAGTGAAAGACAGATTAGCTTAATTAGGACTTTAAACCCGATTTTTAAAATTGATAACGGGTTCTGGTCAAGGGTGTATGGTGCAATCTAGCTACGTTGCGAAACGCAGCCAGGGGGGCAGTGCCGGATCAATAAATTTAAGCCCCTGCCGGCCCAAAACTAATAATCTACGCTGGAGGCACTGTGTCTGGCTTAATTAACAATACTTAATAAGGTAATGAAATTTTATGACTTTAAAAACAGTACAAACTTGATTACAAAGTTACGGAGTGGATATCTGGGAATTTTTTAAAACTACTAAAATTCATTATTTGAATAAATATTGTCAATGGGACAGCGACGATTATGATTTTTGGGCCTGCAAGGGCCCGTAAGTTTATAGTTCTGGCACTGCATCCCTTTCACAACGTACTTAGCTAGAGTGCATCATACACACTTGGTACTGGTGCCTATTCGAGTAAGGGGCGGAGTATGTAGTGCCAAATTATTAGTATCATAACATTCACAAAAATCAACTGTGCAAATTGTGCAAATTGTCAACAAAATCAATTTACATATGTGTTTCGAAATTTCGGTTTTAATTATTACCAATGTAAGTTTTAAATAAGATTTACTCACAATGCTCATCTCGTCCTCAACTTCTTGGGGTGACGTTTTCCTTCTGAACCAACAGAGCGCCTTGCTCGCTTCGGCCTCCTTGCCCTTCATAAGTAGATAGCGGGGTGAGTCCTGAACGAAAAAAATGGCGACCAGGAAGACAAGAGGGAAGACTCCGCAGATAAAAGAAATCCACTGATAATCGACCAGAAGACCGAGGCAATTGCTAAAAATTATATGCACCAAAACACATAATTGATAAGGCATTTAAAATATTTTAATGATGATGCCATTTCTCAATTTTTTAAAATACTAAAAATTGTTTTAATGCTAAATTTTTTATTAATTAAAAGTTTTTTCAAAATTAATTTTTATAATTTCATGGAAGTGATTCTGTAAAAAAAATTGCGCTTAATTTTTGAAATCGGGCCAAAATTCGAAAAGTTACAACCTTTTTAGAAATCCGAATTTTGACTGATTTTTTTTTAAATTCCGCCACGGACGTAATCATGCCTATTCTGGAAAACACAAAAATATTGGTCCACTTATTTTTGAGCGTGCACAAGTTAAAATTAGTCCGGTCGGTATCGGCGATAACCACCTCACACCATCGCATTGTTAGCATACCCTGTCTAGAGTGCTTTTTTAACAACATTTGCAACCTCCAGCGCAATGAACTTGTCAGGAGTTTTTAAATAAACGGCTATGGCGGAGAAAATGAAGTAAAATATTCAGATGTAACATACACGACAAGAATTCCAATAACCAGCAGCAATTGGAAGCAAGAACCCAAAGCTCCGCGGATACTATCTTCCGCGGTTTCTCCAATGTACACCGGGGCAACGAGAGAGAACCCGCCACCACAAAATCCTATTAAATAAGGGGTTTATGTATTTTTTGTAAAATATTACGTATGTAGGTTGAGAATAGGGCATCCAAACCAGGGGAATTTTGAGATTTTTAGTTTTTCAAAAATTGATTGAACCCGGTTTTCTACAGATCTAGCTTTAAACCCTTTTATGAAACCGATTAAAATTTTACGAAACTTGTGATGTAAAGTTTAAAGTGTAACCAAATTTAGGCATTCATTCAGGGTAAAAAAATTTCGGAAAAAATAATTATTACTGGAAGGAAAAATTAATAATATTGGCGTACTTCTACAGCAATTCACTTTATGAACACAATACTTTAAAAAAATGTGGTTGATGGAGAATTTAAAACCGGTTTTGGATGCCCTACTTAAAAATTTCAATCCATAAGATCATACTGAAAGTGACAAATGTTTGGGTTCGTCCATAAATTATGTAAGGCAAAAATATAGATTTTCTAGACCTTGCCCCCCCCCCTTTCAGCATGTGTCACATACTTATATAAGCCTGATATCATTAGAGCCTTATTCACCCTATCCCCCTTTCGCGTTACATAATTTATGGATGGCCCCTTAACCAAATTTTTACGTACGCGTATGTACGGGTAAGTTTGCATACCTGTAATAAACCGACCAGCAAGGATCATAGCAAGATTTGTAGCAAAGCCGATGAGAAGCCAGCCCAGCACGAAGGGGAGCGAGAGAAGCATCATGGTGTGTTTTCGACCAATTCTGTCCATCAAGAAACCCACAACAGGCGCAGAAAGTAGCGCGCCCAACTGTTCAATAGAATAAAGTATATGACTGAGCGCATAAATTGATAAATATTTCCAAGGGGGCCTAAGACATCGAATAAATCGTCGCTTAGAATTTCGCTTAATAAGCGAGCTCATGGGTCAAGCGAGCACAAACTCAACTAGTAACTGGGGTTAAGGTCGGTTAGCTCCGGTCGGAGCAAAATTTTGTAATTGTCATAATTTCTGCCATAAGCGAGAAACTAAGCGAAATTCACAGCGGCGATTTTTTCGTGTCTGAGATCCCCCAATTAAATAGTTAAACGTGTAACGGTGGTGATTACATTTAAGATTGAACCGATCCAAGATTTTGTTTCGTCAGACATATCCTTAAAGTCATCCGAATCCTTTTCCAGGCTTGGCAAACCCGGGCTTGTCCATGCCAACACGGTTCCCAAACCAAACGCTCCGATCGTAGCTGAAAGAAAATATGTTAATTCAAACATATAATCATTATCAGGTAACAATTAATAATAGAATTTAATTAGTGCTAGTAATCGATTCGATCGGGTTATCCGGCCAGATTATCGTGACATGACCCGTTCAGCAAATCGGATCGGATAAAAAAACCGCCTTATAAAAAATCTGAGACGATTCGACGGATCGGATATTAAGTTTTTCATTGACACTAATGATTAGTTTCTATTTGCGCGAAAATATTGTGTGAAAATAATTAATTCGCAATCTCTCTATTGTCGGGTCGGATTTACCAATACTAACTCTAATTTTGTAGATCAAGATAATTCGTGTAGTTAAAATTTAGATTTCGATTATGGAACTGGCAACTTAACCATGTTACCATCGATTAACTAAAATAGATAATTTCCATCAATTGGTACCGAATAAATTTGACAATTACATAAACGTTAGTAATTAAGAGAGTTGTAATTTTTGGGACAATAATTCCAAATAAATCTTCATTGGTCAATCGATTAAAATTTAATTTGCAAAAACGCTAAAAAACAATTTAGCCGCAAAGCTTACCAGCCATTGCGGCATAAAGTTGGGTGCTTTTGTCCATCCTGACGGTCAAAATTAATCCCAGTACAAGCAAACCTATAACTTCTTGACCAGACAATAACTTGTTTAAAGGACAAAAGTCGGCTCGTCACTGGAAAATTAATTACAAAGTATTTGCATAAGTACGTATTTTATTCGGTTAAACAATGCTTATCAGACTTAACATATCAGTTTAGCCTGATAAGCCAGCCCATTCTCGTCGCATTGGCATTTCGCGTGAAATAATTAATCAGTTGGGACGTGTAAGTTTAATCCAAGAGATAAATGCATACCAAACATTTTTTTAATAAGTAGGTATTAGTTATTCAGACATAAAATTAATTGGCCAGGAATATGGAGCGATATTAAATTTAACCTTCATGTTACGATAATATAGAAACCATCGTATTAGTTTAAATCCCCGATATAACATTGTCAATTTGCAGGGTACGGGAAACCCGGGGATTTGTCTAGAAAAAAACCCATCCCATGTAGGTTATTCCAGGGTTTTGGTAGGTTTTTTCGGTTTGTTTTTGTTTTTGTGGTTTTGTCAGTTTTTGGACAAGTTGGGACAAACTGCTTAAAATAATATATCGGAGTAAAACTATTTCAATATTCAAATTCAGAATGAATTGATAAGCTATTATTTTAAGCATTTCAGTTTTAAGCATGTCACTTGATCTTTCCAGTCAAACGGCCACGCTTACCTAGTAAATTAAATAGCAAACCAAAAATTCTATGCATGTTATTGATATATACTTGAAAATTCGAGTCAAACATTAAATACTCAAAATTTCAAGCTGAATCCGAAAATTTAATTAACACTGATATGAACTGGAGTTGAAATAATTCTGTTTTAATCCGTACCAAAAATCTTACAAGAAACTTCCAATTGGCATTAGGGTTTTCCTAGATTTGATACCTAAAACCAACAAAAACCCAAAAAAAACAGGGTAGCATACCCTGCAAATTATATGTCGCTAGTACCCTTTGATTGAGGATTCCGGTGCTAAATTACGTTTCCCTGCTCTACGTATTGATAATGGTTTTTTTAGCTAAAGCTGCGTTATTTCCATGGGGCTAAATTCTCACCGGTCGTTAATACATACATCATTCGGCGATAAAACGTATTCTAGAATACCCAACAATAATAAATTCTTGGGACATTTTGGTACATAAATTTTTATAATTGTAAATTTTAGGTAAGTTTCTTTAATATTGAAAAACAACTCAGTAGTCACGAGATAAAAAATGTGACACCGGTGGCATAAATAATATTGGCATACATATGGTACGAGAATAGTTAAAACGACTGCGTCACTCTTGCCAAACATATAAATACAAGCTGACGATTGATAAGCAAGATAACATACGAGCTCAATTGTATAAGCATACATAATTATAAAAAAGAACAATGGGATAAATTCTGTCGGTGACCAGTCCATCATCAAGATTGTGGATTGGTGTCCACAACTAAAATATTTGGGACAGGTATGACAGGTAAATATATATGTAACCGACTGCGTAATTATATAAAAAACATATTGCCACGCCCTTTGAACCAAATAACTCCATCAATCCTCTGGGGTTTCCATTTTTAATAAAATGGGTAATCCTCTCCGGAGAAAAAATTCGATCCCATCCTAGTCCGTCGGATCGGATCGGTTCAAAAATCCGATCAGATCAATCAGTGGCATAGAATATGTACAATTAATACAATCTCGCCAGGGTTCGGAAAAACCTAGGGTTTTATTCAAAAAGTAATAAAACCCATAGGTTTTAATGGGTTTGACATTTTAAGTGGGTTTTATTTGAGTTTTAATGGGTTTTATTGGGTTTATTAGGTTTTAAGTAGTAATTTAACAAAAATAATTCGCTATTATTGCAAATTCAATTCCAATCATATACAAATTCCTTTGTCCATATTGGAATTTGTATCGCTTCCGAAATTATATAATTTGTTTATATTTTCATAAAGTATTTTCACAAATTATGATAATAATGAAATAAACTGCTCAGGTGAGTTGAGATAACGGCTTGTAACGTATGGGAGAGATATTCCACTTTTAGAATGTAGCTTGAAGATAAAACTCAATTAAAACCCATTAAAACCCAACCCTAGTAGCACAAACTCGAGAATTACACGGGAAAAACACCTATTTTCGGACACCGAATCTCGTGATAAACTCGTGTTGATTTGGTGTAAAAGTTGGTGAATTTTGGGGGTAATTGTCGCCAAATTGGGGTGTAAAACTCGTTTAAAACTCGCGTTATAAACGTAACGAAACCATAAACTAACACGTGGAAAACTCGTTTAATTCACGTATAAAATTAGATACTATCTCGTGTAATTTTCGTGGTTGCAAATTCTCCATACACGTATTTTATGCTAAATAAACCCAACAATTACACCATTTAAATTATATAAATCAGCTTTATTTTAACTTAAATTGCTTTATGATTAAAATAAATAACAAAACAATCCAATAGTCCAAGAATTACTCATTTGGTTGATCATCGGGTTCAGAGTCGCCCCTTGGGAGTGTTCCATCACTATTTAAATATATTATCAATGAATTATTAAGTTTAGATTTAACATAACTATGTAATGTGTAGTTACTTCGGATTATTCTTCTTCAATCTTTTAGGTGCACCTTTCAAATATTCTTTAATTGTGGTTTCCATCTCGTCATCGGTGACAAGCTTTAATGGTAAACTCGCACGAACCGCATCTAAAAAAATATACTTCCATTAAACTAAAATTTCGTGTATATTTACAGTCAGAGAAAATTTACCAAATACAATGTGTCTCATCCACGCATCACAAAACGCGATTTTGCTACCCCTGGACCCAATCCAGTTGTAATGCTGCATCAATTCGTCCGCACAAAGTCTTGATAACACCCGGCGTGTGCAACTTCCGATATTGCTTACTTTTCTCTTAGTTAATTTTACAATCTGAAATTTAGCATTTAGATTGTGCAAATTATTTAACTGTACATTACATATTTTTAGACGCAACGAATGGATTAGGATTATTTACCAGTGATTCCCGGTTACTTGGGACTGCATAAAAATTAGCAGCATTACTAACATCGACCATATTCTTCAGTGGAATTTCGTGCCGAACTTCATCTTTCGTCATCTTTCTTCATCATCGGCTTTCTCTTTCCATCTAAGTTAAGCAATATCGCGTCAAGTGTCTCCTGGATGTTACGATTTTGCGCTTTTAAAATGGCCACATTTCTGACCACCCAACTCTGAAATTGATTTCCTGCGCAAACAAAGACAGTGTTAGCTAACTATGCAGAAATTTTTATTGCTACTTCCCTACCAGAAAGTGAAATTTCGTCTTCACATGAGGACTGGGATGTATTTGTTGCGTCTCCCTCTGGAACTGGTGGTGCAGTTACTGGCTCGTTTTCATTCATAACGCCGAGGAAGTGAACCATTTCGGTGGAAGCTGAACATCCAGGAATATCCATGTCCGGTTCCGGATTTCCAGTTTCTGATACTCCGGGCAAAGATGATCCGTTTTCCGTAACTGAAACGTAATAGCATTATTAATTAATGGAAGGTAAATAAATGCTGAGAAATAAACTTTGCCAGTGTAACCCACCTAAACACAATTTAAACGGGATCTTACTGGACTCTCTAATTTTACTGGGCTTTATTTTAGGAATTGATTGTCCTTTAGTTGTGACTTTCTTAGCTGCCGGCGTAATCAAGAGTGACTTCACATTTTTCACTGAAACATTATTTTAAAATAATTAATGGAATGTGTAAATATACAGTCACCTAATATGAAACAATTCTGTAATTATTATTAATTATTATCTCATAACGGTTCTTACTTAAGTTATCATTAGGCGCAGGAGGCGGTGGCAGTGTAGAGTGACAGTCATCCCCTTCACTTTCCGAGCTCTCATATGTATTGGGCGCCTCTTGACGAATTCGAATTTTACCATCGCCACTCCCAACCTCTGCGTCGGACTGGTCCATTACTTTGGGAAGCTTCTTCACCGCCTCATGATAAGTGACTGCGTAATAAAAAAAGTCTCAATAAAAAAGAATTAATCAATCTTAAATGAAACTTGAAAGCTTAAATAGCTCACCAAATTTGTGTCCACCACCAAGTAGCTTGACATCATGGGTTGACCAGTTTGACTCGGGGGGCATATGTAGGCCAACAGCTTTCACAATTCTGCCAGGATTTTTGTAATTGAGCCAGACGCACTGAGTATTATTTTTACATAACCACGCACTAGTGACTACTTCAATTTCCTCCGTCTCCAAAAATTTGAGTAGCACAAAATGTTCGCTCATGATGATTCAGATAAATGAATAAGGGGCGCACCAAAATATTCTTCACCGTACGGCAACAAAATCACTTTTTTGACGATTTCAGAAATTTTAATGCACTCGACTGGTCCAAGTCTTGATAATAAATAAATATTTATGGTAGATGATTCACAAGGAGTTTTGTAAAAATTAATTTTGTTTTGAAATCGTCGTCCAAGGAAAAATTCTCCTGTCTCTCCCTGTAGAAAAGTATTTATAATAATAACAGCGCCGTCGCCTATCTCACAAGCACTATCACCAGGTCCTCCAGCATTTAATTTAAACACCTGGTGTTGAAATTTCTTGTAAAAAACGGAGCAATTAATATCAAAGTGAGAGTTATGATAAGACCAGGCAGAGTAGAGAAATGGATGGAGTGGAGTGGAGTTGACGTGGTGGTGGGTTTGGTCTTCCCTCTCTAGCAGTCTTCTGTGCACCTGCTGCAAGGGGCAATTCGTAGATCGCACCAGCTTTTTAATATCTTGCAATTTATTTTCGAATTTAAAGGCACTAAATTTGTCAAGTTGACCGTGATTAATGCAATCATTCGCTAAGTGCAAAAGTCCGTGGACATTAAATGACATGTTTTCACGGCCATAAAGCATATCAAAATACTTAACAAAATAGTGTAGCAACTCATTCGCATAATTATTATGAGTGACATGAAGTGTTTTATCAGCCAGAATTGTTATTGCAACATGAAGGGAAAGAAAATGTTGATATAATGGTTTCGAAATTGTCTGTTTCAAAACTACTGGTCCCGTGTATAAGATGAATTGGCGAAATTCGGTTGCTTTCCAATGATCTAAATCTTTTAATTTGCGAGGTTTGCGAGCAAATTCGTGAGGAATGTACTTTTTTAGTTTAACTAGTTTTTCTGAAATTTCTTCAATCTGATTTGGCCGTAATCTGGCAGGACATTTTTTTCCTTTTGTCAGCAAATGAAGAATCTTACGCACAATTCCTAGACATACTAAATGCATGTATTCACCAGGCGAGCCCTTAACTAAATCTAAATCAGTTTTTTCCATAAATGAGTATTCATTATGATGCTGAGGATCACTTTTTTCACGATGTGTTATATTTGTTCTTTCTGGGTGTCTATCATACGGAAATATTACGCGGTTTTGATAATAAAAACCTTTTATAGTACAGCTTCCACATGAACTGTACCCAGTGTGACACTTTGTTCCGAGCACAAATGCACGCGCTGGTGCATCACAAATTAAGGCACTCAACTTTACTTCATATTGAACGCCATTAATTAATATAGGTCTAGGCAATTCTTGCAACTGCTGAAGAAATGGCGACAAAAACTCATTCACTGAATTTGGTTTCCCCTGTCCAGAATAAATGCCAATGACGAATACATTTTCATTTATTGCGCCTAAAATTGGCCAAAATTGATGTGATGAACTGTGATATAAAGGTATTCCGTCAATGTTTATTTGAAGTTTCACTTTTGCACTACTCTGGCCATTGTGTAATATTATTTTACGGATCGATGTGATCCAATCAAACGAGCAGTATTTTCCTGGAGGAATATCAATAATAGTTGTTGTCCTTGGAGTTTGAAGTAGCGTCCTGCAATCGAGGGGTAAATATTTGAAACAATGATGACGATGCAGAAGTTTTAACAAATCAGTCGTTGCGGTCGCGGTGGTGTTGTGAGTTATTGTCCAACTTCTTAATTCAGCCTTAAAATTAGTAACTGCTTCACCATCACTTTCGTCACTTTCACCTGTGTTATCACTTAACGGTGACGCTACGCTAAAATCACTGTCACTTTCAACTTGATCTTCATTGTCAACTACGACCAACGATGAAACTTTATCCTCAGTCGCCGGATGGTCAGCAAAGTCTGGCGATATTGGTGGGTGCAGAGTTTTAACAACTAAATTATAATCACTTATGACACCGCTTATGTTTCTTTGTACTTGTCTATTTCGAGATTTTTTCATTTTTAGAAATATTTAACTTAAATAAAAAATGAATTCCATTTTAATGACATGTTAGTAATCCTGCATTTATTAAGTTTAGCCGCGACAGATGCATTGGGTCATCGTAAGAATACACCAATTTACAACGTGTAAATCACGAGTATTTATTCAAAGTCGACGCTAAAAATACACGTATTCGATACTCGTGTTTTAATGTGGTATATACACGTGTTTCATGAATTGTTTAGATTTTGGTATTTTGTAGCTGAGAAAAACACGAGTATTACCAAAAAAGTTACACCAGTGTGACACGGACACCTAATGCACACGATTTTACACCAATTTAACACGCGGAATTCTCGGGTTGAGCTGCTAGGGAAATAAAACTCAAATAAAACCCATTTACCACGGTTAAACCCTTTGGGTTTTATTCATTTACAACCCATTAAAACCCATTAAAACCAATTAAAACACAACCCATTAAAACCCAGGTAGGAATACCCTGAATCTCGCTAATGCGTCTAAATCTGCTAATCAGGTGCTCCTTCACCTATAAGTAGTCTATGTGTGTACCCGCTTTTTTAAGCTAATTAACCCATTTTCTAACAATCCAAGAATTTGAACTTCCACAACCTTAAGTCTCACTGCAATATATTCGTTACAAATTAGTCGCAATATTGATACTATTTACTCGCTGTTTTATTACTTAAACTAACCCATTATCTAACATTCCTACCAAATTAAACGATATGCTTTATAACATAACTATTATTATTTTAATCTGCGTTATATGATATACGACTCAAGATAAAGAATTATAAATTAATAACTTCAGTTATATAAATTGCATCATGTAGAATTAGTGCTTTATTAGCCAATAGGCTGGGCTGGCGATAAAACCCGTTTATTATTATTAGATATTATTATTATTATTAAGTACTACAGGGTGTTAATAAAGTCCGATCCCATTTTTCCTGTAAAAAAGTGAAGGCTAGTATAAAAAAAAACTACCCGTGATACTTACAAAAAATGTTCGACATATTTACCTTAGTATTTGGTCTTGTTACCATTTACTTTAACCATGCCCTCAACTCTTTGTTTAAGGCTCTGTGCTAATTTTTCCAATGTGCCTCTGGAAATCGAATTCCATACATCTTGAACTTTTTTTTACTAGCTCTTCCCTCGTCCGGGGTTGTGGCTCTTTGTATACATTTTCCTTAAGTATGGACCACTGGTTCTTCAGGGGATTCAAATCTGGGCCGTTAGCGGCCCACACCCCCTTGCTCCAGACCGTTGAAACTTGCGTCTTGATGAGACTCAAACTCGCTTTTGCTGTATGGGCTATAGCACCATCCTGCATGAAAACTATTTTTCTTTCATTCGGAAATATTTCCTTGTTCCCCATGCTATCGAAATAGATAGGTAATATTTTTTCCATATAATGCTTTGCATTGACTGATTGGCCTTTTGGTATGATATGTAGAGGGGTCACGCAACGTGCACAAAATCCACCCGCTACCATAACTTTAAGCCCGAATTTTGGGATCGCTCTTGATGGTACATCCGATTTGTTTTCTGTCCTGTAACGAACATTTTGTTGGTTCAATTTTGGATATAGTTCAATAATAGATTCGTCAGTCCAAAGGATGTGACTGCGCAATTCTTCACCAAGTCTTTTTTCACTCAAATGGCCACTTTTCTGAAGGAGTTCTTCAAATTTCAGACGGTCATCGATATATTTTTGTGACATGAGAGGTTTTTTTGGTTAGTTTGTAAGCTGTGTGACCCCACTTCGTAGTTTTCACAAATTTTTGCACGGTCACACAGTTAATTTGCTTCTTCTTCTCTTTATAGCGTTTTGAGTCATTTAACTCCCTTGCTCAATTACGTAATGAACTACCGGTTTTCTTGCAAAGTCTGTTTTTAATCATTCTTTTTGTGGTAGGTGACACCTTTCTGGGTCGCCCTGGTCGCTTTTTGTCGTGGACAAAATTTTTATTCTTCCATTTCCAAACAGTTCTGCGGCTGCAGCCCAATTTTTGCACAATTTCTGTAGGTTTAAGCCCCTGCTGATGCAATGTTTGTATCTCAACTCTAAGATGCTCATGACTTACACGTTTAGTTGTTCCTCCCATGGTAAAAATTTGAAATAAATAACTTCACTGGTTCAAAAGTTCCAGCTGAATTTGTAACAACCACGCTCCAAAAAATGCATGGGATCGGACTTTATTAACACCCTTTATATTATATATTGTCTCGTCCTAATCCTTTGTAAATCTTGCGAATTAGCTGGAAACCTCAAGTAAGGGTGTAGGAAATCTCCGACCAAGTTTGGTTCGTACCACATGGAAGCATAGTCTAATCTTGCCTCACCTTAGAATAAGTTTGTAAAATATACATACAATATGGTGCGAACATTAAAAGAAGAGTACAATTTTTGAAAATTTGTCAACCATCACTTTTCTTCAGTGACCTCGCTAGAGCTCAGGTGATCGGAAAATTACGATTGATTCTTCACCGTACAGATGAGGTTAAATTAATCGTGAATTTTACGTTGCGACATCGCCCTTCGAGGTCACTGAGGAGAGCTAATGTTTGAGAAATTTTCAAAAATTGTACTCTTCTTTTAATGTTCGTAGTTTCGCAACATAGTAAGTACATAATCACGGTGGCTTCTTGTTTCCAAATATTTTAGTTGAATTTCTTTATGGGGAATGTTCATAATTTGATACCACTCCAGATGTAATAGGTGTGTAAGTGTTTTTACAGAAATATGTCTTCTACCCAAAATATAGTATTTTGTTCTGCATTCGTACCCGAATTTCCCAGAAGTGATAAATCGTCACTGATAATAAACGCTAAGATTACTTTAAAATTGCTGTTTTATAAACTTTAAAAATTTCAACAATTTTTGAAAAAAAAAATAAATTTGAAGCTTTTGGTTGCCACCATAGCTTGAGTTTCTCGAAAGACAAGATTTTTCTCTGTCATGGTCAATTCGGATTTTATGATTTTCTCATGAGAGCAAGTATTCGGGAAAAAAGTATTAACTATAGTCGCAAAAACGATTAAATTATGATCAATTAAATAGGACCCTTAGTTTATTTTGGCACGTTTTAAAATCATACAATATCTCTCTCAAGTGCAAACTACTTTCTCGCATCCTCTCCGATTGGCAGGACAGGAGGCGCCCCGAAATGTTCCTGGATCTCATCCAATGTTTTGCCTTTAGTCTCAGGGACGAAAATGATGACAAATGCTATCCCCACAGCACATACGGCGGCAAACCCCCAGTAACAGGCGGGCTAGTAGCAAGAAAAGATTATCAATCTTATTACACCCTTAAAAAGATGAAGTCACCCTTTAGAAAAATAAGTATAGCCTGAATTCTATTTTAAGTAAACTATACTAAATCCAGAACAACAATATGACTATGATCCCTTGAGATGTAAGATCCCAGAATTGGGGGATCTCATTGTAATAAATCAAATCAAATCAAAAAATCAACGTAATCGCGATAATGCCTAAAACTCGAACTTGACGTGGTGTAATTTACATAATATAAAATTCTAATAACTTATTTACTATCAAACAAGTTATTGCTAATTTAAAAATTTAACCGATGGAATCCAGCCATACCTCAAGCTACACATTGCTACGTTACTGATACAATTTTATTTTAAAAATAGTGTTAAAATTCTATTTCTGATTCTGTAAAATTGCTCCATTATGAGCCCGAAGTTGCCCGGAATATAAAACGAATAGTGAGGAATACAAAAGCTATACCATATTTAACATGCGTATATAGAGTTCAGACTACAGTTTCATACTTTTCAAGAGGGTAATATTATTTTTAAAAGTATGTCGTTCATAACAACAATTACCAACTTACCGCACCGACTTCTGCTAGCAAATCGGAGTAAAACTTGGTGACAATGAAGGAAAGAAACCAGTTGAACATGGTGGCCATCGTGGCGACCAAGCCTATTTATAAGTTTTAGGAGGTAAAATGATTAAATGTGACAGTGTAAATATTTGCATTTTAATTAAAACTTCTTTAAACCAAATTCGACAGAAGTGTTGGATCCTTCTTAAAATGTTGTCATCTACCTTTTGATTTGGCAGGAAGCAATTCACCTAACATCATCCAAGGAAGTGGGCCGAATCCCATACTAAATGCTGAAATCTGTGAGTAAAATTTTAATTATTTATTCAGTACATGTACATACATAGCCCAATTATGAAAATTCGCAACAATGTTGGGTGGTTTTATGAGGCCGCCTACATGTAAATACGAATTACTATCACACTCCGGATTTACCCTATAGAAAATTGTAAATATTTATGAAAAAAATTGAGACATTTATATTTCAGAGGTAGATTTTAACTTTGAAATACTATTTTCTTGAAAAGCGCAATTCTGATACGATTTGTAGGAGACGATGGTAATAAATTGAATATTGTGGGAATATACATAGTATAATATCCATCAAATTCTTTTGTCTCAAACGTGACAAAATCTCTCTGAACACTGTTACTACAATTAGATTAAGGTTATTTGTACAAATAGTGGCCTGAGCTGGATTAAAACATAATTATCTTGCGGCCATACATGGGAATTCACAAATTACCCTGGGAGAGCTGCAATTGGGACTAATTTAAACGATTTAAGGGGCGAAACAAATTATTTCTTAAGGTAAAATCCATCGCTTTAAGAGTATGGTTAATTTAATTTTGTTTGAAAGCCAGTTAAACTTACATAGATTATCAGGGACGCCAGTGGGAGCCAACCAATGCTGTCAGCCTTATTTTTCTCCTTCAGAAGAAAGAACAAACCCAACAAGACCAGAGAGACGCACATGGTTGCGGCTGAACCCGTGAGCAGAATTTTCCGCCCTAGTCTATCCACCAGAAAGACGGCTGCCAACGTGGCTACGATCTGCATTCCATTCACGATTATGGCCGAATCCAAGGGATCCATGTCCGACCCGGCATCGGAAAAAATAGTCGAGGTGTAGAAAATCACAGCGTTGATACCTTAAATATGATAAAACTTGTTTTAACTTTTTAGTTTCTTCAATTTTTTACCTTTGGCTACTTACTGACCTGACAACTGTTGGAAGAACATTAAGGCAAACATTATCAGGGCAGGGCGAAGATTGAACGGCAGTTTTAAATCACTCAGCTTAGCCTTGTTCGTAAGGGCTTCGGTCACACCGGCTTGAATCTATAATACGCCAAGTGACAAATTTACGTAAAATTTGGATATTACTAACAATTGTATTTTATAATTATAACGGAGACCCATTTCTTCATAAAAAAATAGGGGCTAATTTTTATGCACACATCATAAGTTCATGGGGTACTAACGATGCTCAGCTCCTCCTCGACTTTTTGGGATGAAGTTTTCCTCCTAAACCAACTAAGAGCCTTGTTCGCTTCTGCCTCCTTCTTCTTCATCAACAAGTATCGGGGTGATTCCTGCACGAACAAAATGGCAACTAGGAAGGCGAGAGGGATTACTCCGCAGATAAAGGAAATCCACTGAAAATCGGCCAATTTCCCGAGCACATTTCTAAAAATCATATTTGCATTGTTTATCAGAAATTATATGTTATGGTCCATCGGTCACATCTAAAGAACTTGGCTTGGTTAGAAATTTCACAGAGAAGATTATCATATAATCATACATGTTCAAACAATATTCATTCATTTAAAGTTCATTCATTGAAAGCCTTGAAAAAAATTATTCCTTCCTTATTCATAATTTGTAAAAAAAATATTCATCAATTATTCAACATTTATTCATTATTCACCCTTCCTTCATTATTCATTTTATTCAAAATTCAGAAGACTAGATGAACTTCTCAACGTTCCCTATATATGTATTAAGCATCTAGCAAAAAATGAATGATGAAAAAAATTCATCCATTATTCATTCACACGAATTGAATAGATATTCATTGAATATTCATTTATTAAAAATCAGAATAAAATATTCATTCAATGTTCATTCAATTTTTGAATATTGAATAAATAATTTATTGATTCATCATTAAATGAATGAATGTGAACATGTATGTATATAATATGCCATTATATGCCAGCGGAAATATGGATAAGCGAGATTCAATTAATATTTTAATTATTGCGACTCAAATATGAAGAGCTAATTATTTTGTTGGAAATTTTAATGAAAATTGTTGCCAAAAAAAATTAATGAGCATGTAATGATTGGCGAAATTATTAATTTTGATTGGAATACATCATATGTATTTTCATTGGAGGATATAAAATAAACCTGCGAGATTCTAGGGTAGTTAGTGCCTCTTATTTTATTTTTGGTCTGGTATTGTTCTAATGTTTAAGGTTCGGGCAAAATCTTGCTCAAATTGTTGGGCGGAAACCCAGATTTAAATCGCTCTCGCTTGATCAAGTGGAATTCTAAGCAAGCTAAATTTTTGGGGTGGGTCTAACGGGCCCCATTACTTAACCTAAGGTTGAATTTTTAAATTCGGGATTTTTTTTACATAGCGATAAAGCCTATGGCGGGCAATATTTTATCAAACCATACACAACGAAAATTCCAAGGACAACCATGAGCTGAAAGCCAGAACCCAAAGCGCCACGTATCTCGGGTTGCGCAGTTTCTGCAATGTACACTGGAGCCACGAGGGAGAACCCGCCACCACAAAATCCTATTCATCAAAACTCTGCTTAGTTTGGATTAAAATATTTAACAGTTTGATAATTTATACCCTTTAAATAAAAGTTTTACTAAATTTGCCCAAGATTTATGTAGTGTAAACGAGGATGACACAACATTTTTGATAAAATATGCTTAACCGTAGGATAAATTTTGTATAACGGTTTGACAAATTTTGTCCAACTGTGGAGTCATCCACTTTTTTACGCAGTCTGAGGTATGCTACCCCGAGATTTTGAGGTATTGGGGTATTGCGGGTTTGGATGGGTTTTGGGGTAGACAAAATGAGCAATACCCAGGGTAGTCGGGGTTTCGAATTAAAAAAAGATCACAATATATGATAACAGCACGTTACTGAGAATTGTATCAATTAATTAGATATTGAAATGTAATTAATAAACTGGTTTGTGAGAAAATTGTTGAAAGTAGATTGTTTTCATAACGTAATACATGAGGTATTGACTCAGTTTGCCCCAAAACCGCGACTACCCGCTTAGCCCAGGTAAAACCCCGGGGTATGGGCTAGGGTTGCCGCGGGGAACGGGTCGGGTACCCGTTACCCGCATACGCATACCCGCACGATTTTTGCGGGTACTTGTTACCTGCGGGTAGTGAGAACTACCCGCACGGGTACGGGTAGTTCAGTTTTTATTCGATTCCGGCCATAAACTGGCTCACAGACGAAGTCAGAAGTCATCGCACGCCTTACATTTACAGAAGTATGATTTTAGTATTTATGAAATTCAAAATTTGTCATTTTCCATCAACATGCGCTTATAGCGATCGTGACTTTTCGGTAGCAGCAGAATTCTACAACAGCCTCAAATACTTTTCGCGTCCAGAAATTATTGTTTCTCAAGTATAATTTGTGGATCTAAAATATCAGTACTTGGACTTGGACTTGTATTTGTGTGTATTTATTTATGTAAGACTGACGATATGTTTGTTTCAAACCTCAATCCGATTCAAGGCGAAAATTTTATTTTTAAATGAAAACTTCATTTAAAATAAAATTTAAAAAAAATCAAACCAACAATGGAACCTTTTTCCAAGCTACATACACAAAGATTATGGAGCATGTTATACCAAAAATTCAAGCCAAAAATTAGGAACCACGTTACGTTCTTTTTCCTCCACGTTCTTTTTCCTCCACTGGAAGATAACATGGTGGACTTTGAACTCTGCCCCCCCCCAATAGTTTTCTTCAAAGGGGTCACTCACCGGAAATATCAGTGTCATGTAAATTCCTAATTTTTGGCTTGACTTTTTTTGATATAATTAGCTAGTAGATCCTGGTGTAGCTTGCAAACGGTTCCCTTGTAAGCCAAACATTTTGGTTTCAGGAACAACTAATGACATCTAGCAAATTATGGCATGAATTTTTTGCATCTAAAACTACTTATCAACCCAAATGAACAAATAATTGGTTAAAACAAATTTATTCTGAAGGTTGGCTAGTTTTTAAATTAATTTTCATAACGGGTAGCGAGTAACGGGTATCCGTGCGGGTACGGGTAGTTGGGCAGCGGGTTGCGGGTCGGGTAACGGGTAGCATTTTCGCTACCCGCGGCAACCCTAGTATGGGTTTTCAATGGCAAAACCCCGGGGTTTTCCTTACCCGGGGGGTATTTAAGTATAGCACAATGTTTTTTAGAGTTTATACAAAAGATCGCGAAGAGTAAGTAATTAGTAACTTTATTTACCTGTAATGAACCGACCGACGAGCATCATAGCCAAATTTGTAGCAAAGCCCATGAGCAGCCAGCCGAGGAGGAAGGGAAGGGAAAGAATCATCATTGTTGGTTTTCGACCAATTGTGTCCATTAAGACGCCAACAACCGGTGCGGAAAAAAACGCGCCCGCCTGTTAAATAAAATTGATTGATGAATTATTAGACGGGTAGATCAGCGATGCGCCGTGTCTTACGAAGCAGGGTACGCTACCCCGGATTGGGGTATTAAATTTGCAGAAAAACCTAAGATGTATTTGCAGGTTTTTGTGGTGTTTTTTCATGGTTTTTCGAAGATTTTGGGGCAGATTGAAACAAGATTGTTAAAACTATAACTTAAACCAATAACAATTACATTTTCTGATTCAGCCTGAAATTTAGTGTATTTTTATGGGCGTAAGCGTTAGAGACATCTGTCAATCCAGTTACACACATCTTTAAAAGTAGATATGCACCAGAAGGAGGCTAAATGATGCCTGAACGAATTTTGTCCCCTGAAGGATAAAGTCGTCACGAGCCTTTTTCCGATCTAGGAAAAACACTTTTTCGTAAACAAATTTTTCAACATCCTCTGAACTTTTGGCTCAATTTTTGACAAAAATATATAATTCAATTTGGTTTGCGTTTTTGGAAAGCTTACTAACTTTGCCAATTTTTATGATGGCTTACATAACTAAAATTAATATTCCAACTGGTTGAAAAAAATGGACAAACTTGACACTTTGTTTGTGGGGACGCTTCTTCTTCTAAACTCAAAACAAAAATTTGTCAAATCAACACTGCCGGTGGCAATATATTACTTAACCGCCTTGGTTAAAATGTTGTATCCGAGTTGTGATGATTTTAATACGGGTAGTTATAATGTCATTACCACTCGGAATCACAATTGCAACCAAGGCGGTTAAGTAATATATTAACACCGGTGGTGTTAACTTAACAAATTTTTGTTTTGAGTGGTATTTAATATCGCATTCTTATGTTGATGCTCACGCATAGGATTGCGCCGATCCAAGACTCTGTCCCTGTGCTGATGTCACGAAAGTCATCTGAATCCTTCCTCATGCTGGGCAAACCTGGACTCGTCCATGCTAACACGGTTCCCAAACCAAATGCTCCGAGCGTGGCTGAAGAAGAAATATATTTCATCGTTAGGTAATACTTAGTAAAGTCGGCAGTTTCAAAAAAGTAATTAATCGATCCAAAAGTTATACATAAAAAGGGTACACTTTTGGCAATGATAATAATAATTTGGAAACAAATCGTCAGACGTGGACATACTATGCATATACATATACAATGGGGAGAAAATTAAATTGTACGGTAGAAAAAGAGTTCCATCTACTTCGCACATTGGCCATGATAACACCTTCAAAATTTGCAAGGTAATACCCGGAATTGTCATGGGGTACCGTCCCTGTTTTTGAAAAATGTGAAAAAGCTTAAAGGTCACAAGACAAAAAAGTCCACTTCTCAACTCTTCCTGTGATTTTTTCCTTAAAGGCTTTATTTTGTAATCGATAGCTCAATGGGAACATTTTATATCTTGTTCAGTTCTCTATGATTTTTTTAACAAAGTTATAAATTTTATAAAAAGCTTAAAATAAAACACTTGGTCAGTGGGGATAAAAGTTCAACAGGTGTTGGAGAATCTCTCTCTACGATGGGTCGATACGCCCTCCTTTCTGGGATGGTAAGGTTCGGAAAACTAGAGAGAGAGGAGAGAAAAAACGGAAAGAGACAGAAATAGGAGAGAGTGAAGAGAAATGGGGAAAATTTTAGTGTTTGGATTTAGTAGAGGGAGAAGAGGAGAGATGCCATTTTGAAATTGGGAATAGTGTTGGGTTGGGATAGAGAAGAAGAAGACGAAGAAGCGTTGTTTTTTTTGTGTGTGGATATTAGTGAGTGTGGAAGCGTTGTTTTAGGGGGTCACATACAGTAAAACTTACCAGCGGTTGCGGCGTAAATTTGGGTACTTTTGTCCATCTTGAGAATCAAAATTAAACCCCGTCTATGCAAGCCTGTAAATTCCTGACTTGACAAATGGGCTGGTAAACGGACAAAAGTCGGTTCGTTACTGGCAAATTAACTACAAAGTGTTAAGATAAGTACAGATTTTATTTGGTAAGACAATACATACATTTCAGTTTAGTCCGATATGTATGTAAGACAGACCACTCTCACCGCATTTGCATACCGCGTGAAACAATTAATCAGTCGGGTCGTGTAAGTTTAATCAAAGAGATAAATGCATACCGATCTTTGTTTAATAAGTAGGTATTAGTTATTCAGACACAAAATTAATTGGACAAGAATATCGAGTGATATCAAGTTTAACCTCCACGCTACCAAAACACACACTATACATAAATGTTATCTTTTAGCTGTGCAATCCTCTTTTTTACTTAACCTGGAATCAATTTTACTTATTTTTTGTTTAGACTGTAGTGTCCTTCTGGGTGGTGATTATTTAGTCCCACGGAACAAGTTATGTGTTACAGAATTTGTAATACAGATATTTCAAATATTATATTTCCATTCTATGCCCAAGCCAAATATCTACACTCTTAAAAAAATCAATAACCGTTGGTATTGATACGTGACTCTACCGCGTGGTATTGATCCGGTATTGAAATAATACTATGTGATAAAAAATTTAATACCAATTAGTATTAAAATTACTACTATGAGGTATAATTTCAATACCGGTTATTTACCGATATAACCGTTTAATACCAAAGCGGTAGAGTCACGTATCAATACCGTGAGGTTTTTTTTCAATACGAAGTTTCTAAGAGTGTAATCATGGGTCGTTGATAAATATATAAAATTCTACTAATTAGCTGCGCATGTGTGAATAATTGGCATACATATGGTACGAGAAAGGTTAAAGTGGGCACGACACTCTTGTCCAAAACATACAAGTTGCAAATTGATAAGTAAGATAACACGTATGTACGAGCCCAATTGTATAAGCGTAAATAATTGGGAAAAAGAAGAATGGAATAAATTCTGCTGATGACCAGCCCATCACAAAGATTGTGGATTGGTGTCAACCACTGAAATATTTGGGACATGTAGGTAAATATGAAGCCGACTGCTTATTTATAGAATGACACTACCACACCCTGTGTTCATATAAATATCCAGAAAAACCCAATTTATCAAAAATAAAAGCGAACTGTAGTGTTAACTTATACAAAACACAGAAATTTAAAAAACATTCTAAATTTTAGTGTAATCAGTTAATTAATAACTCATGGGATATTTTCTGCACAATTATAAGAGAAATCTGGCTTAATTTAAGTGTATGACATTGTGTTCTGGAAAATTTAAGGATGTATTGTAAATATTTTCATTATAACTTCAGCAATTTATTTTTGTATATGCATGCACCACACATCTCACTTATTTACATATACTGGGATAAGATAAGCCTTTATAGATTTCGGATAAGGTGAAATATTATAGAGCTAGTTAGCGTGGTGATTGATCACCATTTATTTATTTACTTATTTATCACCCCCATTGTAATGGAAAGTCTAATTTTGGTTTAACTAGATTAGTTAGTCAAGTGCAATTAATTAATGCGGTGACACAAATTTTGATACGTTATGCTTGACAAATTTATTATTGTCGAAATAATTAAGCCTTTACATATTAGAGTTATTCAGTTTAATTTAAAGTCTGTGACATGTGACAGTGTTTATTCAATGTCATAGCGACAATACATAGATACATACATATTTTAGAAAATAGAGGAACAAATTCATTAATAAATTTTGAAATAAGAATAGATAAGGGTTACCTACCATCCGGATGGTAGGTAACCCTTATCTATTCTTAACCGGATGCATCCGGTTAAGTTCACTCCACGTATGCAGTAGGGACTTGACGAAAATCAAAGTTTTCCAAATAAATTGCAACTTTGCCATAATCGAAATATAAAACTGTGCATAAATATAAGTCATACAGTATAACACCATTTTCCCATATCTGAAGGTTCTTCCAGATTGACAGAAAACCCCGACACTTAGCATTTATTATTTGGTCTGAAACGGTACTACCAAATCTCCTAACTTCAGTATCATCCTGTATTTTAGGTTTGGCCATAATTTGACCATTAATTCCTTCCCCCTCCCCAAAAAATGAACCAACATTCCCACAATTCTTCCGTAGTCTTCTCCCAAATAAATAATTATTGCAACACATAAAACCACAGCATGCACGATGAATATTAACCCAATCGACTCTGATAATTTAAGCCCCTGTACCCGTTGAGATTCCTCTACATAATCTACCTGAAACCTCTCCTTGTTCAACCGTCTCACGAAATCGGTCCACTTCATGTTAATCCACCTATTCCAAATCCAACTTTCCCCATGCGAGACTAAAATTCTATTGACCAATTTAGCCCCCGCTAACGGGCCGTACACCAATAACCGAGTCGATAAGTTCTCGAAGACCTCCTCCGTCACAAAACAGGAAACCTTATCAGTACGAACTTTTACCTCTGCTTTTCCCAACTTGGTGAAAATCTCGTCCTGAATGTGAATATATCCCTGGTACGTTGCAATTCTATCGAACCATGCGTATTTCAAGGTACTGAAATAAATATTAATTTCATGATCGACAAGTATATCGTCTGTGGTGATCTCTTTCCCCATGATTTTTTTGTATTGCTTCCCCACCAAAAAAGCCCCCAGTGGGAAAGACCCTAAATTCGGGATAACCATTTTATACCCAGCGAGCTCCAAGTCTTTCGTAGTTTTGTATATTAGAATGTGGAGTGGAGCGGTAATATCTGTGGTTATGAAGGACTCGTAGTGATAAGAAAGGAATGAGATGAAGATAAGACTGGGCAGTGTGTACATTCCGCATCGGTCAATTTGTCTGATAGGTTCGTAGAAAAAGTAGAATAGAATTTCGAAGGCTGCCCGCACAGATTGACGGATAAGGCCAAATAAAACTAGGGACGTTGCGAGAAGGACCCAAATCTCCCAGTCGAACGGGGTCACGAACCAGATCCACTTTGGTGCGGTGAAGGTCGCTTTCTGTACGCAGTAGAATGGGTGTAACCTCCGCTGGTTGAAACCAGCTATGAGGACAGGGTTGTAGTCCGAAAGTTCGTCCACGGCACCCATTTCCAATGTTCCCCAGCAAAGTAAGAGAGCTGTCCAGGTAGAGTCCTCGTATGGAGAGCACGATTTAACGTCTAGAATATATAAGAAATAGCGCTTTGGTATTATTGGTGCACTATTCAATGCGTAATGATTATATAAATACTGCATAAAAAATAGATAGCCGTGCAGCATTTGTAATATATAATTTTGGGTTTTGTGCTGATAGTGGATGATCATATGCTTAACGCATCGTATTTGAGTGCCCAAAATCTATTGAAACAACGGTTTTCGTACGCAGACTTAGTATGTATGTTTGTCTCCCTGTCTGAAATTGTTTGACATTGTAAACTCGCCTTGTCTTCAGAAAACAGGGCAACCTTATTGCACATATGATGGGATTGACTAAAATTTCCTTATCGTCTGACGTAGTAAAGTTATGCCATCATCTGACAGTACAATTACCTCATCGTCTGACGTTGTAAAGTCATGCCATCATCTGACAGTACAATTACCTCATCGTCTGACGTAGTAAAGTTATGCCATCATCTGACAGTACAATTATCTCATTGCCTGACGTAGTAAAGTTATGGCATCATCTGACAAAGTACAATTATCTCATTGCCTGACGTAGTAAAGTTATGGCATCATCTGACAAAGTACAATTATCTCATTGCCTGACGTAGTAAAGTTATGCCATCATCTGACAAAGTACAATTATCTCATTGTCTGACGTAGCAAAGCTATGCCATCATCTCACAAAGTACAATTATCTCATTGCCTGACGTAGTAACGTTATGGCATCCTCTGACAAAGTACAATTATCTCATTGCCTGACGTAGTAAAGTTATGGCATCATCTGACAAAGTACAATTATCTCATTGCCTGACGTAGTAAAGTTATGGCATCATCTGTTATTGCAAATTTGCCTTGTCATTTGACGTCGTTAAGTTACTTCATCGTCCGAATTCCTCAAACTTGCATGCTAACTCCAAAGTCAAAGTTTTACACCAGAGCTTTTTACTACTATACATAAGCATGGAAATATCAATTGGCGAATAAATTAAAGTGTCTGCAAATCGCTTACATAAGCGTGTGAAAATTACAGAACTAACACAAATGTTAGGTCCCTTATACACAATGAACAAGTGAAATTACTAAATATCTTAAAAAAATCTGTGATTTACACTAGCTGGGAAATTATCAAAAACTCTTACCTTCCGCCCTGGTAATATTTAATTTCTCCATCGCAATCTGTAAAATAACGTAAAATCCGTGGGAACATTTTGGCTCTGAGCTAAAATATATTTCACACTTTGCAAGCCTTGAATTTTCCTGAATTTGTTTGGGCGTAGAAATTTTCTCAGTTAGCTGGTGAACTTGTATCGCTCCTGCATTTCCGTTAGAATTTAGCCTCACATGAAGTTCAATCAGTCTGCCGGGATCATTGGTCAACTCAACGCGGAAAAATCTGCTTATCTCGGGACACATGTAGCACAAAATATGTCCAGATTTTATGTATTCCCTAGTCATCTCCAAAAATACTAGAGGACAAATAAATCTTGGTTCCGGAATGTCATTCAGATCAAGAAATGCGTCAAAAAAGTAGTGCAATTCTTTAACTACGACGTAAAATAGGACTCTGAAACTTGAATCAGTTCCATATCCGGAACGTGTGATAAGGTAGTGTAAGCTGTCGATGGATTTAGAAGGAAACAGGAAAAACAATTTATGATTGGGTGACAATTTTCGTCTTGCTCTAAAAAATTGAGGTTCTCTCGAGCCCAGGGATGATTCCAAGGTTTGAGTACAATTGCCAAAATACGATTGGATTATTTTAACATGACCGGAAAGCAGGTAAGATTCCAGGTCCTCAGTGGGACCACAAGTTCGAAAATTTAGCTCATATCGGAGTGAAATCTGTGAAATTAAACGTGTCTCATGGAATTGTAGGGATGACGATGACGTTGGCGAAATATTTATAATGACGAAAATAATTTTTACTAATTTTGGAATCATAGTTCGTGTGTTTTTTTAC